ATTTTAAAAACCTTGCATTTTGCAACATCCACTGTCTCAAAAAAATTCCACTACGTGAACAAATGTATGGCCCTATAAGCTTACGCGTGAAATAAAGAGCAAACTGAGAACACAACTATGTAATCTCAGATCCAAGCGCTGAACAAATCAAACAATTGAACAATTAACCAATGTGAAACTTATACGATTAACAAATTTTGTGGAAAAAGGGTAAGTCAAAAGTTCAAATTCGTTGTGAGTGGTTGTATCACTCATTGCCTATCTAACACAACTGAATGAAAAGTGGTTGTAGAGTGGTTGTTGTAAAGTGGTTGTTTTTGTAGTTTGGACAGAATACGTTCTGGATGAAGATACCTCAAAATTGGCTGTTTTAGTGAATCAAACGTCAAAATAGTAGTAATGGCAGTGTGAACAGAATAGTAATATGGTTGGTTCATGGATTTCTTCGATGCAGATAAGTGGAAACCGTCTGAACTCTAGTTGTCAACAAAAAGAATAATTGATCAACCGAAGTCAATGGTGAATCTGTGAAGCTGTTGTTCAATTTTTCAAGGAAAGAGTAAGATTTCAAAAAGGCCCAACTTTCGCATATATCAAGGAAAAAAAGGTACTTGATAGACACTATATTCAATATTTACAGTACCCTATAAAAACAATAATCACTAGGCAAAGGCATTATTCATGCTAGACAAACTTTAGATATACGTCTGGAGCTCAGCTTGAGCAAACTCATGCTAAAAAGGAATTTCAATTAGTGCTGAGTATATGGAGCGAGGGAGATTGGTTTAGCAGACGCGGAAGAAGCGAAACGACGTCAAAACAACCCTTTATATTGGTAAAGACAGCTTTAATGGCAAATTCATGAAAACAATCATGGTACTGGCTCACGTGGGCTGTGCAAAAGAGGACATTTCTCACATCAGTCGAAAGCATCACTAATTAATGATAGGTTGGACAAAAGTACGGTTTCCTTGGCAAGTAATAAGCCACACAAACTGCTGGGACTAACAAAAAAATGTTGAAACTCAAAAAATTTCATATCTACTGCGATAAATGTTTTCTAAGAAGGATCTTCGAGTTTCAGCTGAAGAAAAATGTCAACCATTTGCAGCACATGGAGCCGCAATTATGCATCCAAGCAACACAAAGCTAGTTATTCGGCTGCCCACGCGCTGCTGGCTAATGAAGCGAAACTAATGGAGGAAGAGCTATTCAGCACACATCTAGACGTGAAGCGACTGGAATACAAAGAGCGGGACTCTAGAACGCCATTGAATCATGATGGATGAGATGGATACGTATGTGATCATCAGCAAAACCTCTTGAGACTGAAACGCTAATAAGTCAAAAACAAGGGAAGCACAATTTTTGTGCTAAAGATCTTCGACCTTTTCTACCTTTGTAATCAAGTAAAGGAAGGCACAAGATGGATTGACAGAAAAGGTACTCTGCGCTTACGAAATTGATCATAAAATTGATTCATGAGTGGAATATACAAAATCACAGGCAATGCACGTTCTTCTGCATTCGATGTATGTTGTAGGGCGGATGTCGCCCACCCTTGCTTTCAATTAGTCGCAATCAGCGAAAAAACTTTAATCAGCGATAATCGAGCAAAACGCCTCAGGCCGCAATAATCGCCCATAAAGAATGCAGAGATCTAGAACTATGATTATGCCACAGGTCTCTTCTCCACTCTCACTCCCTTTCCCATCAAATCTCCATAGATAACACTTCCGCTTTTTTTTAGCAATTTGCAGACCTTAAGAAGATTGCGATATGCACGAATATGAGCTGCTCCATTGTTGCAATGACAAATAGTCTTCATAAATCCGGATAAATTCGGCGCAAAGTCATAAAGTAAACAATTACCTGTACTATTAATTCAGGCTAGAATGTTTACAACATATGCCGCATTTGAGCTAGAGGCATGTTCAGTTAAACATCACGTGATTGCAAGCAAAATGCGTCTCCAAATTATCAAAGCTCTATACCATATGTTTATCTAACTAATAGTTGTAACGGTCCGAAATATTTTTTTCGGGAGTGCGGAACGGAGTGGAGGGGGGGGGGGAAGCGACACAAGTTCTTCCAGAAAAAATTCATATGATATATCCCAGAATTAAGCGCCCTATAACCCCTCAATTTCAGATAAAGAGGGCCTGAATTTTCACAGATTATTGATTGTTCACAAGCAGGGCTCGGCACGAGCTGGCACCAGGGAAATTTCAAAACGAAGTCCCATTTGATATTGAAAATTCCATATGAAGTCCCTTTTGACCTGTTTTGAAAACCCGTCATCATTTTTATATTATGTAAAAAATGTAGTAGTGTTTTCATGCATTTCTGATTTCATGAAAGAACTTTTCACAGCTTTCTGGGCTTTTTAAGTGGTCGAATCACATCTTGAGAAGCAGAAAAAGCAGATTTTTCGACTGCGGAGCGGACCGAGTGGTTTTCAAATTGCTATAAAACGCTGAAAAGAGAACATTATGAAACTGTTTCTTCTCCGTATGTAATTTTTGCAGTTAGATACATTTTATGTAAAAAAATATGAAAACTTATGTGAACAAAGTGACGGTGCCAGCTCAGCTGGCACCCAGCTGGCACGGTGCCAGCTAATTCAGAAAAAGTTCGGCACAGCTTTCATTCACATATGGCCCGTAGTTCCGGTCCACCAACGCGCATGCACACACCAAATTTGGTGTCATACTATTGCGTTTTGGCTGAAAACGCCTTTGTTTGTTGATGGACAGCTTGCCAATGGCATGCCGGCGGCATTTTTGCGGCAGTTCTCCGCCTCGGCCCCTGCAGAAACGATATCCCCTTTGCTTTCCGCCCTAAAAACGATATCCAGCTTGACCCGCTGCCAGCTGTGCTGAGCCCTGTTCACAAGTGATAACGAGTCACTTGCGCATTTTAGAACTCATGTAAGCCACCACCAAAAATTTCGCGCCCCATTCATTCTCGGGGGGGGGGGGGGGGGGGAGTTGAGGTATCGCAGAGTGGCATAATAGCAACTTTTGAAACATTGAGGCATCTGACCGCTTCGGAGAGTTGGCATTGCCCCAGATGGCAACATATAAACTGCGATTTGCAGATTACAATGCCTAAACCAAGATAAAAGCGCAAATGACAAAGTTTGAGCAGAAGAAAAAGAATTTCACTGCATTTCCGAGAATTAAAAAGTCGCACTTTCTCACCAGCGAAAAATCGAGAAATTTTGCGATGGAGCCAACACTCTCGAAGCTAACGCTTCACGAAGACAACGTGCAAGTACAGTACACTTCCTAGCTCCTAGATTTTTTCATAAACAAAAACTAAGGATTGAAGGGAAAAGAGTGCAAGTCTCTTATGTTTTTAGCTCACTAAAAAAGCTAAGAGGTAACGCAGCAGCGACTTAGATATGCACGCACACATGCATAGAATATTTCAATCTTCTCGTCCACAACATCACTTGAGTAAGACTGAGACCTGAGAATTTGGCTAAATAACGAAAATTATACCCCAAAAATTGCAAAAATTCTCGAAAGGAGGCGAGACTGCTATTGCTTAATAAGTTGAATCAGAACTACATTGAAAAATCCCAGGATTCAACAAAAGTAACAGTAACAATGAAAAGAATCGGGCTTTGTCTACAATCCAATTTTTGTAAAATGCTGAACTGTTTCACATCTTGAGATTTATGTTGAATTTACCTAAAAACCTGGGAATCAGCCGTTTTTCGCCTTCATTTTGAGGGACAGTACTTTTTCCGTACCATGTATATCCTTACTAAAATATGCACTGGATCCTTCGAGCGCCTATGGCAATTCGTTTTACGGAATAGGAGTAGGTGATAACCTTATTCATCTAAACACTTTATCCACTATTTATCCACTTTATCAACACATACCAAAGCTAAACACCGTTAAGTTTTGTTTGAATGCTGAGGATATAAAATTGTAGATCTCAAGGTTGTATTCGAAAACAGAAATCGCATACAGCGTTCTGAGTCAAGCATTTGAGAAAACCAAATCGAATTTTTCAGCAAGGGTTCCCACGCTTCATAAAATCTACCAACTCAGAGCTTTCAAAAGTCAAAACGGGATACTGCACCACCAAATGATTTTGTGTAGCCCTATGGATTATTCGGGATCGAGCCATTAAAAAAACACTAACATAATGGCGTATTTAAGTAGATCAAGAGCTGAATTCAATATGCAAAAAAAAGCTTGCGAATTACTTCGAATTTATAATGCCACCATGATAGTTTTCTCGTCGAAGATGACCCTAAACGAATTCGTCATCTTGAGAAAATAATTGAGCAAAACCCTAAGTAAGAGCGTGATTAGATGTGAGCCTTGCGTAAATTTTGCCAAAGTTGTACACTAACTTTTACGCTCTCCAAAATCGGGGAATAAGTTATTTACAATAAGTTACAAATTTTCCAAGCCGTATTTCAGAGCGTTCAATTTTACTTCAGAAAAGTATTGATTCAACAAAAATGCCGCAGTCAATGGACTGATGCACAGATTTTGGCTCTTTTTCGTTTTTCTAGTCTCACATGATCAAGGACGAGGCATCATTGTTTGCGAGTGCAGCTGTATTTTTTATGGCGAAAAAAGGGACAAGGATATCACGAGTTCTGAAATGTGATGGGAATATCACGGGTTGTGGAGGTGGGTCTCACAAAAGTTGCACGTACGCAACTACACTCTGCTGATGATCGAAAAAAGGAGATTTCGTCACCAAGCGACCAAAAAATCGATTTATTGATCAATTCATGGGTTACGGTAGCTCAACTTGTAAATTCAAATAATAAGCTCCTGAAATTGTTGGATTGGCAGGAGATCCTTCCGGTAAGGTCAAGCTCCCAACCGCACTAGATGCCCTTTCTGTATATGGCTATTATGCCATCAAATCCAAACTAGACTTGTTTCATTACATTGCTTGCAGAAAGCTTCCAGTAAAAAGTTCCCCAATATAGATAGATTCCCCATTTCAAAAATTGAACTTACCCTGAGCCATCGTTCTACGACGAAGACGTTTTCTGCGGCGATCTGCTTCACTGGTCGAATCGGTTCGTCGCACAATACTTCGTCCTAATACTAGTCCACTTCCAGAACCACTTCTGCTGTTCACTAAAATCGTCACATTCAGCGATGAATATGTCGGTGACACATCACAACTAACGATGCAGCGCTCCCAGTCTACTTCCACTGGAAGAACGATTTAGTACTGGTGACATATTGGGAGTAGCTGGACGCGATCCGCCAGCTAGACTGCGTCGCGCCAGATTGATACTGCCTCCACTTCCACGCCATGGTGTGCCATCGCTGTTTTCCGAGTCCGAATTCTGAAAAAAAAACTATTAGAGAAAACGAAGAAGGATACCTCAGTACAACTCGTAGATACTTTGGAAATTAGAACAGCAGAAGATACATCAGAAGAGAGATGATCAAAGCAAGCCTCACAACTTTTCAAAGTTTTGCAACGAGACTACCATTCTTACGCAACTCAATGATACAAAGTGCTCTGTCGCAAAAGCCAAGAATAATCGACATTGTAGAGCTGACGACAAACATTAGATCTTATGTTCGATGTGTCAAAGTTAAACTAATATGGGGGCGGTCACGCTTCCATATCTTAACAAAACCGGAACAGGCTTTAGAATTAGATTAAAAATGCCAATTATTAGGTCGTTCCATAAGTCGTAGCGTTTTATAAAATCATCAATTAACAGTAAAAATCGATCAAAATTATATTTATCGTTGTTGCGCACGACCTTTCGGCACATTCTTGTAGCTTCTCAACCTCAATTTTTCGAACGACAGCGCACCAGGCCCTAAGAAGGTCATCTAACCAGCGCTCAAACTACTTACTGATATCGAGACATGCACCATCCATAAGGTTTGCTAGAGAGCGGAACAAATGATGATCTGATAGAGCGAGATTAGAGAGTACGTTGGGTACCGAAGTACCTTCCACTCAAACCGTGTAGGACAGTTTTGACTATGTTTGCCGTATAAAACCATGTTTCTTCATGCAGAAAAACCCACTGGATGTGCCTATTAGACTTTTTCTGCTGTAAGACCTGGTTTAGACGGTGCAGTTGGATTGCTTACGGTATGGTTGACCATCGCCTACCTGTACAGCAATTTTCAGTGCAGGAAGTTCTGCCCGTCCCCCGAAAAGTCTTGTCCAGGGACACCTTGCTCATCCCCTGATTTTTGATAGCAATCCAATTTTTGCCTCATGTTAATGTGCGAGCGCTATGTTCCATAGACAAAAAAAACCCCGTGCAAAAACACTTCTTCATAAGAAAAAATGCGTAAATGTCGAAAGTGCTCCGTTTTGCCTTTCAAGATTTCCATCTTTGAAAGCTACAAGATCCGAGTTAATCAGTATTCCACCGGAATTAGTAGACATATTTTGAACAGCACAATCAGCGTTTTCCAATGATATATGCTTGCCGCAAATCAACCGCTTCTCAAAGATATGAGGACGAATATGAAAACGTTAACTTATGGAACGACGTAATACTTTGATTGATCTCATCCGGAGGTAAGATTCAAATGAACAAAAAGCTGTTCTCGCTAATTCGAAGTTAGCTAGAAAACTGAGTATAGCTGCAAGATACACTTCGATAAGTTGGTGCAAATATTCTGTCCGCTTCTCGCGCTTATTGCAATGATTGAAATCGCCTGAGGCGCAGCAGCCATTAGAGGGTAAGCTCTCCAAGATGGCCACCAAAATTACAATCAAGAATGGGAATCCACATAAATTCTGAAGCAAGAATCATGAGCATTTAACCACTTCAAAAATCTGATGTTCACTTGGAGCAATTTTGCGGAACTCTCACGCATCGTATGACAGATACAAGCAAACAATCAAGATTGCTTTGATTTCCTCTCGCTCAGAGATAGGGTAACCATAATCGAGTATAAAGACCTCCACCCAACAATCTCAGATTCTGCATGGGTAATCTTATGATACAAAAATCCGGAAGGAAGTAAAACCATGATTTCGTACACTACTAAGGCTTTGATTCCCAGAAATTATTGAATCTAGGACAAAAATTAGTGATGAATGGTTACCGATTTTGCACCAACCCGATAATAGGGATAAACATCTTGCTTTTATGAGATAAAAGTACATATATCAATAAAGCCATGTTTGAATACAACGAAAGGGGTCTGATTAGTTTGTTGGCTAATGTTCAAACTCTTTTGTTCAAAAAATTCCTAATTTCCTATGCAAAAAATCTAAAACGGGGCGATGAGATGAAGCCAGATCCTAGCATTACAAAACATGCAGGAACAGTTTACAGCAGAGTCTAACAACCATAGAAATTGCTGACTAGCAGATGAAAGTTTTTGGAATGAAGATCCTAGTTTCCAATATGCAGGCCAGACGCAAAACATATGAGAGAAGACTAACGTCGGGTCACGCAAAAACTGATGTTGACTGCCAGACAACGAGATATATGACAAATATGGTCTCCGAAGACATTTGCGGATGGGACATACATTTATAACTTTATGGAGAAATATGTAGAGATTAAACACAAGTCAAAACTGCGATAAAATCTACTGCTATGACGAATTTTATGAAGCAGACGACTATCTGGGCTACTGCAGAACATCTAACTTGAAGCGCCGCCGCATCGACCAACAAAAAAGTAGCGCCGCAAAAGGAACAGAAATGGATATGCACTAAGAAGAATACTCTGGGTGCACTCACTTGGAAAGTCAAAGGACTGTTGTGGGCCGGTAGCGGACTAGTTGTTGCCGATTGCGCGGATCGAACTGGTCTCGACAACACTGGTGACAGAAGTACTGGAGGCACACAAATCCCATCTCCTGGCGGCACACTCTAAACAGCAATGCCATCAGATGAATGCGTCAGAGAATATATTCCACTAGAGCTTCCTGTTTCCAGTCAAAAAGGATGTTTGTAGGGCAACCATTAATGTTGATGAGATGCTGCACGTGCTTTGATGGTGGCGCCGATTTTAGTATATTTTACTAAGATTCTGATTCTACAAATCTTTTCACGGTGTCCAAAAGCAAATTCTTCACTTCAGTAGTTGGATTCATATAAAAATCATCAGTTTACGTTCTCGTTTTCAACACCCGATTGCAGCCATGTTCTCCAGAATTTCCTTTACATTTACTATCAACGCATAAAACGGAAAAGCGCAGAAGAGGAAAAGAGAAAATGGCCAAAAGAGAGACACAACAAAAATTGGATTTTGCTGCTTAGGGTTCAAACAGCCCAATTTGCGCACAGACTGCCACGAAAAAAAGATCAATAACTCTCGTAAAAACTAGGGAATCTGAGAATATAAGTCGGTTTCCGAAGTAAAAATGTGGCGACACTGCCTATTTGTTCAAGAAAGTTAGTGGAGCTAGGGTAAGGGGAGGTAGGGAAACATGCACCGCTCATAATTTGTCAAGAAAGCCACCGAACTCCACCGTAATTCACCGAAACCGCTTAGTGTCGCCATACTTGGTTCAAAGTTGATTTCTGAATCCGTATGTATCCCTCGTCTCAGCTTGGTGAAACGCATATGACATACGCAAGTGCTGATTTGGTTACGGCACGCGGTCAGACATAAATCTTCCCAACGCTAAGTTACTCAGTGTGAGGTAGCAATGAGTAAGCACATTAGGCACCCTACTGTAAGCAGAAATTGAAAAAAAAATCATGATGACCGCCTCCGTATAACCAAACGGGCACTTCCGGATACCAGTTGATCCGCCCACCGAGCTGAATCGATTAGTGTCCTTGAATTGAGAATCAATCCAAGCGGAACCAAGATACGACAATGCGACGAGGATATCGGCGAACTCCGGTGGAGTTCGGTAACCTTTTTGAAGATTATGAGCAGTACTATATTTTTAGGGCAATTATCTGAAAATCTCATTCAACCCTTGGCCCCTCGCTTCACTTCTACAGTAATATCAATGCAGCTTGCTGACGCACTATATGGCGTCATACAACCATGTGCCATCTTGCGCAATTGCAATTCATTGTCAATTTACTCTTCTTCATCTTATTCCTTTCGCAGCTCATTTGCTCATAGTCAAAAGGCAAACAACAGGCTGAATAATGCTCTAGACGGCTCTGCATATGATGCATATAATTCACACACGAACATATAAGCGAAAAAAGGTATAGCAATAAACTCGTCTGTCAATTGCACACTCGAAACGTTATGAACTTTTGCACTTCGACATTGCAGCTCAAGTTAACCAACCAAAATGTTCGTGAAAGAAAAACCCTAGTGAAATGAACAGCAATTCCTTTTTTTAACAATCTTCGTTACATACCCAAGCAAAATTTAATATGTAACAGTTGCCTATCATGTTGACTCAGTTGTGTCCCATACAGACTATGCCTATAATTTCTGCTAAGAGTTCATTTTCTCATCCCCCCCCTCCTCCCACAGCGCAGCAAGAAAGAACTTCGAAATCTGATCAGATATATGTAGATAACAAAGTCAAGTTTCTCTTATATATGAGCAAAAACCCATCCCAGAAGTTTTCTACTCCTACATAAGACTTCAATCTTGCTTACTGCAGCAGGGCTTTCGTGAGATAATCTCCTTACAGATATGATCCGGCAGCACGTCTTGGCACATAAAAGAAGCCAAAGCATATGTAGCTAACGATGTCGAAACCCATAACGTTTTCTTACATAAAGCTAGACCAGAAGCTTCATATGAGAGCGTCATAAATTTTCGCATTCAAAAATGATTTATGGGAGCCAAAAGTCTTGACTCATGGCGAAATGTATCACCCCTTATGACTGCGATAGAACATATGCAACATTCTTAATAGTTCTAACCAAACTTTATAAACGAGCTCTTAGTAGTCAAACAAACCGGAACAAAACTTCAACTAGAATTTCTGCATTTAGCGGATCTATTTACTCAAGATCGAACATCAAGCATTGAAGTAATCGGTCGTAATTCACAGGAAATTAGTTTTCGCCGGACGTACATAGTATGCGATGATACAGCTGCTTCAAAAATTCGCAATATGTAATCCAAAGTATGCATCAACGGAGGCAAGCTAGCAATAGTCCACATGAATGTTGCATATGCAAATCGAAAAAAACCAGAGATTTTTTTTCGAGGGTGAAGGAAAGAGACGGGAACTAAAATATGCAAGACTGCAGACATATTCGCATGTAGGAAAAAAATTTCACTAAGGTACCCTCCCTCATTTTCTTTTCAAGCATATTATTTTATTAAGTTGAAGGACAAACTTCATTTTCAACATTTTGTAGCATCGATATGAGTGATCCCACGCCAAATACCCCATGCTCTTTTACTTTTACGAATCCCATTGCCATTGTTCGCTGCCTACATGCAAATCCACAATTACTATTGTTGTTTTTTGCAGAGTATATATCCCTAGTCAGGAACTACAATGTCAAAGGCCCTTTTATGCAATGGCACATATGCCTTGTCATATGCTCAGCTGACCGAGGAACGGGTTCTATTTCATTGCATTACACTGACAAGATGAGATAACTAACATAAGCGCAGCAAAGGAGAGTATCAACATCGACTCTTCGAAGCAAATCAGATTTTAGATATGAAGAAAGTGAGTTGTAAGATAAAAATAAATCATTCTGGCGTTGTCTGTCATATAAATAACCAATGCAGCTGCTGTAGCCCCACATATCAGAAACAAGAGTAATTTTATGAGTTGCGATATGGAAGTAGAAGATGTAGAAACTGGATCATCAGCAAAAAAAACCCAGAATTTTTCTACAATGTAGAAACTTTTGCAAGAAGGCTTGGAAAGGCAGAGCGTGCGAATTTTTTTAAGCTAATATAGCCCAAGATGTTGACAAGCAAATCAACTCGAATCTATTGTTCTGCAAGATTCAATTGCTATGATTAGCCATGCATAGCCGACACAGCTAGAATAAAAATGTTGAATGCTGACTCAACGAGAAACAAAAGGCGTAAAAGCCTGTCAAAATCAGAAACCCGGAAAATCTTCGAAATTTCTTCATAATTCGTTCAGCAACCAACTCAAAATCCTCGAGAAGATTGTTAAATCATCATAGACAATACTAATGGAGATAATAAGTCTGCGCATAATAGTTAGCTGCAACACCTCGAGTTATCGTAACCACGTTTATTCATCTGCACTGTCTTGTGATGCACTTTTTATGGCACGTTAAAAGAGCCATTTATAAATTTTACCTAGGCGTTTTCTGTGTGTGATAATATACATTAGACTCCAAAAGAAATCATGATATCCAATCAAATGCTCAACTCACTCCGCAGTAACGAAGCGCATAGGTTGTAAAATACCCCTGCCCGTATAGATAATTCAAAGAAGATTGCCTCACATAAAAGAAAGACGTAACGCAATTCCACTCGACACGTTTCATTTAACATTGAAGTAAAGTTTTCCACTCCGTTAAACTCAGGGTGTTGAAAGTCATAAAAGCTGAATATACCTGAGCACTTCTCGGCCGCAGCAACTCGTTTGGTGGCGTTTCAGACTCGTCCATAGAATACTTCATACTAGTCCACATAGGTGACAGTAATGACTGATAGCTTGCACTCAGTGGTAGGGTAACAGACGACATATCACTAAGGGTAGAAGTACAGCTGCTTCGACGATCAGGTGGTGGTGAAGACGACCTTTGTAGGTCAAACTCAGGTGGAACTTGTAGATAGCTCATTTCAGCAGAAAGTCCATTAGCAACAGACATTTGGACAGCAGTCACTTCCTTTAGATCAGGCGGCGGACTCGGTGGATCTAGTGAAATCCTGATGGATGTCAGCTTTGAAGCAAGGCGTCTCATACGTGGGCTTCTAGAGCATTTCGAGGAATCGGTTGATTCCATTTTCTGCATGCTTGGATCTGAACAAGCAAGACGAGATGACCTGCGATAACACTGTGGGATTCTGCGCGTGTCGACGTAATGCGAGCCGTGAAGCGCCGCCCATTTCCCGGGTGAGAGCGTAGTCACCGTCGAGGCGCTAAGTCGTGTAATCCTCAAGGCACCCTGTGTCACATCGCATCAGCCGCTGATGTTAGAGCAGATTGATTTCATCTTCGGACAGGATTAGCTCACAAGCAAGTGAGCTCCATGTCAGATTGTGGAAGGTACAGCCCATTCTGGTAGCTTACTCTTCCCCTTCGACGCAATCGCCACGCCAGGGCTTCCTCGCTCAGCGGATGCGTTGTTCCTCATTGTGAGCAAACGAAAGTGATTGACGTAGACTGTATTGTCCAATCCTAGGATGGGTAACTGCACACATTGCACACATTGCGCGTCTCACCCCGGATTCTTTCACCACGTTTAGGCTATTCCGCGTAAATTTCTTTCCAGCATCTTTTCATATCTTTCGTTTTTTCCAATAAAAAAAAAGTACTGAGTAAGTTCCAGATGTCCGCAAAACTGCCAGTGAAACACAGGATGTGTTAGGCACTATGTGTTGTGCATTTGCACATAAATGGATGAGAGGTGACTAAAGTGTAAATCTTAAATTCAACAGTCGTGTTCTGACAATTCTTGCGAAAGGTCCCACGCTTGTATCGCCAACAGCACCTTCGCGTAAAAAATGGCCAAAGACGCCTATTTCCAGGGGTTACGCTCTATGGCCATTCTAACGCGCAATTCTTGTCGACACCGTAGGAGCACTATAGTATCGTGGGATGTAGTAAACTACAACTAGTCAAACTGGCATCCTCCATTCCCACTTCTTGCAGTGGCTTTGCAGGGAAAGGGAATTTCCAGAGATCGCTCTCGGATCAATTAGTCTGGACAGGTGCAAGTAAGCTTTACCCTCATCAAAAAGCTAATTTACTCCCGTAACTGCAATAAGCGCGACATCA